ATGTAACTTCAAACAAATTTCCATGATAGTGATGGATTTACGTGTATCTTCTGCCGTTTTCCATCTTGTTTTCCATGAGACTTCTCAAATAATAAAGAAGGTCAAACTAGGGAGATTCCAATCCAAACACTGATCATTCAATAAAGTAGAAATGTGAACTTGAGACAAATATCTCCTACATGAAATTTTCCTATCCACATATACAGAAAACCAGCTTTGCTGTCTTAAGGACTGACCCATGTGACACATAACAAAAAATGGTACTATCTTATAGTTGTTCACAACAACAAATGGATACTAACTTCCGTTACCGAAAACTAAGAAACCAATTTAAAGGTGTTTGGAATACCTTTATTTAAAAGGCATAATACATAAATGTGCCCTTTAACTTGGCCTCATTTTACGTTTATGTCCTCCAACTTTGGGTATGCACAAATAGACACTTAAACTTGTATAAAGTTGAACAACTAGATACATGAGTCCTACATGGCACAATACACATAGGACACCACGTAAGATAAAAAATGACATGTAGGATGCCATGTAGGACATGTGTGTCTATTTGTTCAACTTTATACAAATTTAAGTGTCTACTTGTGCACACCTAAAGTTGAAGGGCATAAATGTGATTTGAAGCCAAGTTAAAGGGTATATTTATGTATTATGCCTATTTAAAATCAGAGTACGAAAATGATCAAGCACGTAAAAGAAATCCTCAAAATGCAGTTACTGGTGGATCAAAATATTTTAACTAACAATACCTTAAAAGGAGTCCTTATAAATTAAATACTATTTTGAAAAATGAATAAAATTTATTCATCACTTATTTATTCTTTTTATTTCAAAAGATAAAACAATTCGAATGCTTGAATGGCAAATTAATTCTACTCTTGATTCTGTTCATCCGAGTTAAGACCTTGAACTAAATGGTTAGCCCAATCTCTAGAGTATAACAATAATATATGTAGGATGTAATAAGATGGAGAAGAGATGATATTGACTTGGGCCTGCCAGCCCAAATCTTGCTACTTATGCAAATTTTCAGCCCAATCCCTTGATAATGAAGTAAAAAATGACCAAAAAATGGACATTGACACTTTTCAATTGCTAAATGCTAAAACAACACATACAATTATATACAAACAGTTAAAGGAACTGCTTTCAATCTTCCATTAAGTCCGTCGTCTCTGAGCTCTCTTCTTTGGCCTTCTTCTTTTGTGAGGCATGATGCCATCAAAAAATTCCACAAACCATTTTGGCTTACGATATTTAAACATGAGACTCCACATGACAGTTCCAACAATGAGTCCAAAACTGTAGCCTATGACTACTGATTCCCATGTAAATCCACTAAAAAAATAGGACTCATCATCTTCTTCTTCTTCCTCCAATGGTTGAGGAACATGTGATGGATCTCTCGTTCCACATTTCTTTGATAAAGGAGTACCACATAAATCAAGGTTGCCACCATACGAGTCATTTTCAAATGTGTTGAATTGTGAACCTTGAGGAATGCGTCCAACAAGGAGATTTTGAGAGAGGTTTAAGAATGACAGAAAGTTCATTCTTGTGAATTCCTGTGGAATTTTTCCAGTGAGCCGATTCCAAGAGAGATCTAACGCTTCAAGCATATTCAATTTCACCAGTTCCATTGGAATATCTCCTTTAAGATTGTTATGAGATAAATTTAGTAGCCAAAGTGAGTTGAGATCCTTTAGTGTTTTCGGAATGACACCTTCAAAATGGTTGCTTGAGAGATCTATGGTTGTCATAATTGTGGTGATTTTTTCTAGCTGAATTTCCTGGTTTTTGATCACCAACCTCACTGAAACCTCATACATTACATTACTAAATCCGATGTAAGACTGTGGTTGCATATATTCGATCTCACCTTTGTCTCTGTCATCTGTTTTGATCATTCCTTTGAAGTTTTCAAAAACTTCTGCAGGCAGTGAGCCACTGAACTCATTTTGAGAGAGATCAAATATCCGCAACCTGGGAAAGTAAAACTTCTTCCTAGTACTTATAGGTCCATGGAACTTGTTCGACTTTAATATAAGGACCTGCAGCTCTTGAAGAGTTCTGAGCCAAGCTGGAAACGTGTCATTTATAGCGTTGTTCCCCACATCAAGGACTTCTAGACCATCACACTTGAGCAACGACATCGGGACAGTTCCTTCAAAACGATTACCATTCAAGACAATGGTTCTCAATGAATTGCTCTGTGCACAAAACAGTGGAAGACTCCCAGTGAAACTATTTCTTCTCAAGTCTAGCACAGATAGCCCAACCATGCTGCCCAAGCAATGTGGAACCGAGTCACTGAAGTAGTTGTTTGACAAATCCAAAAGGCTAAGGCTGCTCATGTTACAAATGGATGAAGGTAGTGCACCCTCAAGGAAGTTAAATTTAAGATCAAGAGACTCTAGACTATAATAATGAAATTGCTGTAGGTGGCCTGTTAATGAGTTATGTGAAAGGTTTAGGTGCAACAAGGAGTCCCACCTCATGCCGCTAAACCAGTTAGGGATTTGACCACGAATCTTGTTGTTAGAAATATCCAACACCATAAGTGTCTTTACATTTCTCAAGAAGTGTGGAAAATCCTTCAGTCTACAAGATGATAACTGCAAAATTTCTAGGCTAGGTAAAGTGATTTGTATTCCCGCATCAAGGGTGATGTTATTTGATGAAAGGTCAAGGGTAGAAAGGTTTGTGAGATTCACAGGTGATTGAGGAAAAGAACCACTTAACCGGTTATGATGGAGCGACACTGAAGATAACAAAGGTAGGGTAAACACCCAAGATGGTATGGTACCATTCAGTGAGTTGTAAGACAAATCCAGCTCGGCTAGCTTTTGAAGCATGCTTGCATTTCTAGGAAATAGTCCAGATAGGGAATTTCTCGACAAGTCTAAGGTTTCAAGTTGTGTCAAGCTTAAAAGTGGAGAAGGAAACGGACCGATGAAGCTGCAATTAGAAAGACTTAAATAACGTAGTTCACGGAGGTTAGAGAAAAAATTGGGAATTTCACCTCCAAAGGAGTTAGATGAAAGAGCTAAAACTGCGAGGTGCTTCAATTTAGAGATTGTGGAAGGAATATTGCCAGTGAAATGATTATTACCAAAATTCAAATACCTAATTTGTGTAAGATTGCCAATAGAATCAGGAACGCGACCAGAGAATTGACATCCATAGAGATACAAGCGAGTCAGGGAACTCAAGGTGCCAATTGAATCAGGCAGCTCACCGGAGATTCCTGTGTATGAAATATCCAACTCCAACAGAGTGTTGCTCGGGTGGATCTTTGGTAAAACTCCTTTGAGAAGATAGTTATTACTCAAATAGAGTGTTTCCAAGTTTGGCAGAAGGAATAAGCTCTCCGTGAGAACACCTTCCAAATTGGTTACCTTAAGATCGATGTACCGTAAGGAGGAAGACAAATTCATAGGTATCGGAGATGAGACGTTGACACCAAAGAGAGAAAGTACCTCCAGATTTGTCAAGTTCTGAAGCACTACGTTAAATGCTCTCTGATCAAATTGTAATCCGTTCACATAAGAAGGAACAGAAAGATCAAGCGAAACCAAATTGGAAAGGTATGAGATTTCTGATGGGATTTCCCCTTGAAAGTAAGCATCAGAAAGATTGAGATGCTTCAAATTCCTCAACCGGCTAAAGTCATTTGGAATCGTAGAAGGATAAAAGTAGTTCTTAGCAAGGTTTAGTGTCTGCAGATGATGAAGTTGGATGAGGCTGCTGTTGGGATAAATAGTTCCATTAAGCTGACTACAACTAAGATCCAATCCGATAACATGACCGTTTAACATGTCACAAGTGACCCCGTCCCAAGTGCAGCAATCGTTACTCTCATTCCATGAAACTGTTTTTGGGAAAGACGTATCACACGGGGAGAAGTCCAATATATCAAAGGATTGCTTAAACTGAAACAAAGCAGAAGCTTCACTGGGAGAGCAAAGATGATGATCAAAGGATGAAGAAAAACTTAGACTTAGAAATACACAACAGAAAAGTGAATAAATGAAAAGGAGAGGCCACATTTTTTTGCTTTCAGCATATAACAAAATGTTATGTTCTAACAAAATCTATATATATTTTTATAGATATTTGAACTCCTGTTTTAAGTCAACTTTGTCCAACTCTCCATCAACATATCTTCTTCTGTTTATCCACAATAATTGAGAAAATATAATAAATGAACATTAATGACATTAGTTGTCTGTTGTGCTGTTTTCAAACTTGTTAGGTACATTCTATAAATTTCAACTAGCCTTTTCACATCAATTTTCTGCCTAGTTGTAGTAAAAAAAACTTAATGGGGCCAAAGTTGATACTTGTCCCCTATTATATTGACAAGTTGATGTTATTGGGCACAGCCATGTAACAACTTGATGTTATTCTATTCCAATATGTAATAATCTGACATCAAATAGTTTTTAAAAAAATCATTTAATATGAATTTCGTACAGAAGATTAACAATAAACTAATTGGAACAACTGGTTTGCTCCTTATTCTTTAGGTTTAATTTGTCATCTTAACAAAAGTGTTTTGCAAGTGAACAGTGTAATAACAACATCAACGTACCTAATGTAATCCCACAAGTGGAGTCTGGGGAGGGTGATGTGTACGCAGCTTTTACCTTTACATTAAGAAAGTAGAGAGCTTGTTTGCGTATACAAATTGACGTAACATAAGGTGTAGCAAATGGAGTGATCAAACGTTGGCAACACGATTCGGTATTTTTCTTTTCAACTACCAATATGAAACTTTGTTTGCTCATTAACAGAACAAAATGCAGAAAGAGGTGATTTCCCCCTAAAACAACACATATAAGTTGCTATCAAAACATATACATACAACAAACAGAAATAGAAAAGTTCATAGAAAACAAACTCAAATAAATACTAAAGCATAGTATTCATGGGATAATTCCAACATTACTCATTATACAAAGACAACTGGCTCTTTCAATCTTCAATTAAATCCACCATCTTAGCCTTCTCTTCTTTGACCTTCTCATTTTCTTGGGGAAAATGCCTTCAAAAAATTCGACAAACCATTTTGGCTTACGATATTTAAACATGAGACTCCACATGACAGTTCCAACAACGAGTCCAAAACTGTAGCCTATGACTACTGATTCCCATGTAAATCCACTAAAAAAATATGACTCATCATCTTCTTCTTCTTCCTCCAATTGTTGAGGAACATGCGATGGATCACTCGTTCCACATTTCTTTGATAAAGGAGGACCGCATAAATCAAGGTTGCCACCATACGAGTCATTTTCAAATGTGTTGAATTGTGAACCTTGAGGAATGCGTCCAACAAGGAGATTTTGAGAGAGGTTTAAGAATGACAGAAAGTTCATTCTTGTGAATTCCTGTGGAATCTTTCCAGTGAGCCGATTCCAAGAGAGATCTAACGCTTCAAGCATATTCAATTGCCCCAATTCCATTGGAATAGTACCAATGAGATTGTTATGGGATAAATTAAGTAGCCAAAGTGAGCTGAGATCCTTTAGTGTTTTTGGAATGACACCTTCAAAATGATTGCTTGAGAGATCTATGGTTGTCATAATTGTGCTGATTCTTTCTAGCTCAATATCGTGCCCTTTGATTACCAAACTCACTGAATCCTCATATATTGAATCTGTATACAAATATTGACTCATATATTTGATCTCACCTTCCTTTCTGTCATCTAATTTGATCATCGCTTTGAAGTTTCGAAAAACTTCTGCAGGCAGTGAGCCACTGAACTCATTTTGAGAGAGATCAAATATCCGCAACCTGGGAAAGTAAAACTTCTTCCTAGTACTTATAGGTCCATGGAACTTGTTCGACTTTAATATAAGGACCTGCAACTCTTGAAGAGTTCCGAGCCAAGCTGGAAACGTGTCATTTATAACATTGTTCCCCACATCAAGGACTTCTAGACCATCACACTTGAGCAACGACACCGGGACAGTTCCTTCAAAACGATTACCATTCAAGACAATGGTTCTCAATAAAAAGCTCTGCGCACATAATGAGGGAAGACTCCCTGTGAAATCGTTCCTTCTTAAGTCCAGCACTGTTAGATTAGCCATGTTTCCCAAGCAACTTGGAATCGAATTACTGAAGTTGTTGCGTGATAAATCTAGAAATTCAAGCCTGCTCATGTTACAAATGGATGAAGGTAGTGGACCCTGAAGGGAGTTAAATTTAAGATCAAGATACTCTAGACTATGGTAATGAAATTGTGGTAGGTGGCCTGTTAATGAATTATGTGAAAGATTTAGGAACTCCAACGAGTCCCACCTCATGCCACTAAACCAGTTAGGGATTGGACCACGAATCTTATTCTTAGACACATCCAAGACCGAAAGTGTCTTTACATTTCTCAAGAAATATGGAAAATCCTTCAGTTCACAACATGATAACTGCAGAACTTGTAGGCGAGGAAAGGTGATATTTGTTCCTGCATCACCGGTGATGTTGTTTGTTGAAAGGTCAAGGGTAGAAAGGTTTGTGAGATTCGCAAGTGATTGGTGTAAAGAACCACTGAGTTGATTATTGCTTAAATACAGGTATTCTAATGTTGGGTTTGTTTTGATCTCATGGGGTAGTCCACTAAATTGATTATTATGGAGCCACAATGAAGATGCTAAAGGGAGGTTAAACACCCAAGACGGTATGGTACCATTCAGTGAGTTGTTATTTAATTCCAGTCGGGTTAGCTTTTGAAGAATGTTCGCATTATTAGGCAGTGGGCCAGATAGGGAATTACTCGTCAAGGCTAAGCTTTCAAGATGTGTCAAGTTTGAAATTGTAGAAGGAAATGAACCGATGAGGCTGTTATCATAAAGATGTAAATAACGCAGCTCTTGGAGGTTAGAGAAAACGTCTGGAATTTCACCTGAAAAGGAGTTAGATGAATGTTCCAAATGTGTGAGGTGCTTCAATTTAGAGATTGTTGAAGGAATATGGCCAGTGAAATGATTATAAGATAATATCAACTCCGTAATTTGTGTTAGGTTGCCTATGGAATCAGGAATGGAACCCGAGAATTGACATTGTTCGAGGTTCAAGATATTCAAGGAACTGAAGGTGCCAATTGAATCAGGAATGGAACCAGAGATGCCTGTGGATGAAATATCTAACTCCAACAGAGTACTGTTGATCTTTGGTAAAACTCCTTTGAGAAGATAGTTATAACTCAAATAGAGCGTTTCCAAGTTTGGCAGAAGGAATAAGCTCTCCGTGAGAACACCTTCCAAATTGGTTGCCTTAAGATTGACATACCTTAAGGAGGAAGACATATTCGTAGGTATGGGAGATGAGATGTTGACATAAAAGAGAGAAAGTAGCTCCAGATTTGTCAAGTTGTGAAGCATTGTTTCAAATGTTCTCTCATCAAGTTGTAATTCATTACCAGAAAGATCAAGTGAAACCAAATTGGAAAGGTATGAGATTTCTGTTGGGATTTTTCCACTAAAGTGAGACCATGAAAGGTTGAGATGCCTCAAATTCGTCAATTGGCCAATGTTATGTGGGATTGAAGAAGAAGTATCGAAGTAATTGTTAGCAAGGTTTAGTGTTTGGAGATGATGAAGTTGGAAGAGGGTGCTATTGGGATGAATACTTCCACTAAGCAGACTACAACTAAGGTCTAACCCGATAACATGACCGTTTAATAAGTCACAAGTGACTCCATCCCACCTGCAGCAATCCCTACTCTCGTTCCAAGACATTGTTCTTGGGAAATGAATAGGACATAGGGAATCAGTGTCGGATGTAATCTCAAAGTGTTGCTTAAACTGAAGCAAAGCAGAAGATTCAGTGGGAGAGCAAAGATGATGATCAAAGGAAGAAGAAAAACTTCGACTTATTAGCAACACAAAACAGAGAAATGAATAAAAGAAAAAGAAACGTCCCATCTTTCTTTTTCGTATTCAGCCAAAAACAGGATGGATGTTCTCTTCTTACAAATCAATCATCAGTATATATATATATATATATATATATATATATATTTATTGATGTTGAAGATTGCACCATGTGTAACACACTGCAGAAAAAAATAATATTATATATATTGATGTTGAAGAAAAAAAATCTGCAAAGCCAGTGTGTTCATAAATGATATGGATTTACGCGTATTCTTCCGTTTCCCGTCTTGTTATCCACGCGTAAATGATAGAGAAGAAGAAATCAAACAAAGGAGATTCCAATCCAAACACTGATCATTCAATAAAGTAGAAATGTGAACTTGAGACAAATATCTCCTACAAAGTAATATGTACGTATACTTTATTGTAACTTGTGGAGGTAGAAAAGATGACTCTGATAGATCCTCTATTACAAATTTACAAAATTTGGCATAAGCATTATACTCAGGTACAACATGGTAACACTACAAGTACAATTTATTTTGGGAACTTCTTATTAATCTAAGATAATCATGGAAGGTCAAAAAATGTGTAATTCATTTGTTCCTTTAAAAAACAATGCTACTCTACCTTCTTCTTTTTAACACATATAAAGAGTCTAAACCAAACCTATTGGATTCAGATGAACTCGTAACTTTGTTTAAATGCACTTTACACGGTCTTGGATGTCATTTGGAAAGATAATTTCTGAACTCTTAACTTAATGTTTGATGTCCACCTTGCAGCCTGACTGATACGGTCCAATGTGGTATAAAGCCCGTTAAAGCGGGAAAAACTCCTATCAAGATTTTTTTCATTCTCTGGGCTCTAACTCGAAGGGAATTATCCATCCTACCATAACCGTTGTTTGTAAGATTAAAAAAAATGTTGAACTAGAAAGATGTGTTGTTTTGCATATGCCTAATTGATGTTGCAAATGGACTCTTCCAACATTCTAAACTTAATGGGCTTTTAAAAGCTGCATGAAGCAGCCCAGCCCATATTTAATCTTAAGAAATTCAAGAACTAAAGACATTAAAAAGGAATCAAGAGCTCTCTAATATACAATTTTATTTTATTTTTAGTTTTCTTCCTGGTTTTCATTGCCTACATTGGAGTCCAGATCGAACTCGAGAGTTCTGATTAAGAATAAAATAGTCTCACTATTACACCACAACCCAGAGTTTCTCAAATTTTTTTAGTTGGGAAATCCAATAATTGTCTTAGTGATTGCCAACAAAATTGTCTTAGTTGTTCACTCTTCAAATTGTATTATATTGTTGCAATTGATAAATTCATTTTACTTTGAGACTCTTGCTTAGGATAAGCGTCCTACAATTGATAAAATATTATATAGGTAAACAAACTTTATAACTTAGTAACGCGTTTAAAGTCGTGTGCATCTAGGGTCAGAGTGGACAATATCATTAATAGGTTGGATCGTTACATTATTAATGCTAAGTATATCTAGCATTTACTATATTTGATGTATCAAAACTACTTCGTATGTGTTTCATTTTTGACGTAATACATAACAACCCTTTTAAACTTATATTAGCAAATTTCATTTAGAAAATACTTGAATTATTATTTTTTCATAAATTGAGTACATGAACACATGATAAAGTGTTTCAATTAGATACTTTTGATTCAAATTTTGAAAAAAAAAATTACGCATCAACCTCAATTTGGAAACTTCTGAACTATTACAGCTTATTTCCATACCATAAAAAAAATTACATTTTTTATTTCAAAAAATTGATGAAGATTACAGTGAATCTGGTCTTGCGAATGTCCTAATTCAACTACCCCACCACATATGCCTGGTCTTTTTTCCTATCTACATTTTGTTGTATTATATTTTTATATTATTATCTTCAGAATATTTTAAAAATAAATGCTTGGTAATATTAAAATGAGCTTAATTATGAGTATTTTAATACTATATAATTAGATCAACTATTTGTATTAAACAAATGCAAAACCGTGTGGCTTCAATTTCTTGATTACTTAAGTCTTACTCTTTTATCACTAAGCACCATAATTTTATTAATAATTTCTAAGCAAAAACTTTATCTGGAATTAATTATTAATTTCCATGGTAATGGAAAAATTCTCGAGGGTCAATGGTACGCGATCTAAAGTTAGTGGACAATGGACACACTCTGTCCTTTAATTTTTTTCACTTAAATATCATATTTTGCGATATGATTTGAATTCGTAATATATACCTAATCTACATATCAGATATTACGCTTTGATTATCCCAGACCATAATCCTAAGGTTAATTATTTTCATTTATTTTTGATTGCTTGAGAATTAATTAAAATATATTTTTAGCATATTATTATATGGTTAAAGTACCGTCCAACCCAGTTTTTGTCTTCTTCATCATTTAATTTTGAATTAATTAGTGTGTTAATTAGTTGATGTTGAGCTGGCATTGTTTGGGTTTAAAAATTATTAATATCTCCAATTTGGCAAATCATTCTTAATTACAGGCAAATGACTTTGTATTCCATGCACTATTCCCACTACCAAATTTTATTTTATTTTATTACTCCCTCCGTCCCATTTTATGTGGCAACATTTGACCGGGCACGGAGTTTAAGAAATAAATGAAGACTTTGAAATGTTTACCAAATTACCCTTTAAAAAGTACACTCACTTTTCTCTCTCCTCATAAATGTATTGGAGTATTATTTTAAGATTAAGTGGGACCAACAAGGGTAAAAGAAGAATTGCATCTTTAAATACTTACCATATAAGGAAAGTGACATTCTTTTTAAGACTGACCAAAAAGGAAATGTTGCCACATAAAATGGGACGGAGGGAGTACTATTTAATCATATATCCCAATAGATTGAGGGAATATTTTTTTAAAGGCTTAAGTCATCGATAGCCACTTAAAGTTGTCCGCATATTTCACTTGAACCTTTTTTGTTGACATGGCAAAGTGTTTGTAGTACAAACAAAGAGAGGAGCGTGAAAGCATAATATTTTAGCAAAAAAAAAGAAAAGATTTTATATCTTCTTCTTCTTTGAGAAAGCTCCCATCACCATTTTTCCATTGCAAGTTGCAGCCATCACCACTCACCATTCTTTCTCCTTCCTTTTCGATCTTCAGCCATTTTCTTTCTCCAATACACCAGCTTACCAAATAGGTTGTTACCATCCACAAGTCTACCATCGTCAAACGACCTTAGCCTTTCAAACAGCCAACCACACATTCAAATCGGCCACCTTAAGTTTTTCGTCGGAAAAAATGTTATCTCTGCTGCCACCAAAAATATTTATCTCTTGTTCATCTCTTTTGTCAAATTAAACCCAAATATAAATCTTAAAACAAAAGAAATACAAAAAAAGAAAAAGATGAAGTGGAGATTCCATTTCATTGACATGGGATGTTAAGCAAATGTCATTACATAAAGACACACAAAAAAAAAATAACAAGCAATCAGTGATCGATCGTCTTCTTACTTTAGTGTTCATTATTTCCGGCGAAACTTCATTTTTTCCGGCAAGAATAATACGAATTTGAAATTATTCTTTGACATTGTTAATGTAATTCAAATTCTAAAAAACTAACAACACAAGAAGAAGAAAGAATATCAATAAATCTAAATTGACGTTTGAGGATAAGAGTAAGATTAAAGAATGGCAACGAATGGTGTTTTGGGGAAGGGTTCTGGCGAAAGAGGAAAAGGGTAAGGGTGATTTTCTTTTTTCTTTTCTTTCTAAAAAATATTATAACTTTTCCTTATAATTTATTTTTTATTAGTTATTCTATGCCCAATACCATGTGTCTTCTTTTGATTAGTTACTATGCCACATCATTCGCGAGCGTATAACATACACACTCTCTTATTTTAGCTGATTGTCTATAAAGTGTTCGATGGGTAAATTTTTTGATTAGTCGAGGTGTTCAATTGGAACAAGCCTAAGATGAGGTGTACAAGTGAAATTTGCGGACAACTTTAAGTGGTTATTGATGACTTAAGCCTTTTTTAAAATATAAAATGGGGCTAACCCATCGGTGGCCCCTTAAATTTGGCACGAAATTTCACTTAGGCACCTCAAGTGGATGATGTTCATTTTAGACACCTCATGTAGGGTTTCGCTGTGTCATTTTAACACTTTTTGCTTACATGGCATAGTGAGTGTAATACACTTGTTGAGCGCGCGTGAAAAGCCTATTTAGTCGATTTTTTAATTATTTTTTTCTTCTTCTTTCCCATTTTCAGCCACCATTTTTCAAACTTAAATATCCAACATGGTGAATAAAAATAGATACAATAAAATAATGAAAAATGATGGAAACTATTTTAGAAATTTAGGAATAGACCCATTTCAAGATTAAATATTAAATTATTCAAATGGGGGTTATTGGAGAAGACGGGGGGGGGGGGGGTGTTTCTACAAATGGGGGTTATTGGAGAAGACGGGGGGACGGGGGGGGGGAGGGGGGGGTGTTTCTGCAAATGGGAGTTATTGGAGAAGACGGGGGGGGGGGGTGTTTCTACAAATGGGGGTTATTGGAGAAGACGGGGGGACGGGGGGGGGGGGTGTTTCTACAAATGGGGGTTATTGGAGAAGACGGGGGGACGGGGGGGGGGGGGGTGTTTCTGCAAATGGGGGTTATTGGAGAAGACAACTGCGGGGGTGGGGGGGGGAGGGGGTCATGGGGATTTTATTGATTTAATTTGTTTTTAAAAAATTATTTGGGCAAAAATACACGTGTCATTGAGTCATTGGTTACTTTATTTTTTTATTCAAAATTCATTATCTACAAATTATTTTTTGACAAATGTCGTCATTTAAT